GTCCTAATATACCCTTCCATCTGGCCGCTGATGGCAGCGCATCTTTCGCTACTGATGACTCGTGTGTCTTGGTGCAAGTGCCTGGGGAGAGAGGAAGGGAGAACAAAGCAGAAAACCCAGATCTCTTCATCACTTAAAAACCTTTTGCAAGCAAAAAAAAACTTCCAGAGAAGCAGGAGGAAGATGACAGCCTGGCCTGACTCAGCCTCATCCACCCCCTTCCAGCAAGTATTGACCGTAGCCAGCTCTTGGCCACAGCACAAGAGGCTTGTGCCCGGGAGAGGAGGCTGAGGAGAAATGCAAGCCCCCAGCGGGAGGGAAAGCCACCAGAAATGGATACGGCAGCCCACCTCTGGGAGGGGACGGAGAAAACCCGCTGGTGCCAGAGGCAGAGATGATTCATGCAACGCACACTTGTCCAGGACAGCTGCCGATGGTCAAAGCAGCCTTTGAAAGCCGTTCTCTCAGTAGGGCTCGTGCCCGATCCCCCAAACCCTTATTTTATAGATATATACACACACATGCCTTGAGACCAAACCTCAGCGTTTCTCCTGTTTGCCCTCCCGTTCTTTTGTATATACAAAAATAAGAGTTAGCTCATAAACTGCAATGACGTGCACCGGGCATTTATATATCCGAACTGATGCATCCCGTGAGGAATGTCCTTGAGGCTCCTTGGCTGTAAGATCCCTTCGGCTGTAATCAATTCACGAGTGCAAACTGTTCTGCGTCTCATTATTTATTACTCTGCTTACTGTATATCGGGCCTATTTAGTTTCAGCGAGCTAAAAACTCCAGCTGCTCGTCGCCGTGCGCCCGTATATCCCACAACTTTGCACGTGGGCACTGCAGCTCCGCAAGCTGGCTTTCTGTTCAGGCCTGGCGTGGAGAGAAAGGCACTTATCAGAATATTTAGCATCATAAAGATATTTTAAGTTAGATTCGCGTCACTTTCATTATCGCTTACAGGTATCAAAAGCGCTTTACTGGAGCAGACTAAAGGTTTGCTGGACTTGGTATCCAATCAAGAGCACTTAAAGTTACCCAGTCTTTCAGAAGAAAATGTGACTCCTCCTAAAAATAAACTTAATTGTATTACCTAGCACCGCTAATGGATTTTATTTTTCCCCAGTTCAGCATCTGACATAAAAAATCCGGGCACTAAAACTTTGCATTTCCATCGTTGCTTACTGCAGTGTCAGGTGCTGGTATTTACGTAATTGCCCGAGCACTTTTCAGGCAAAGTTGCTTTCCTCAGCGGTGCCAGCCACCAGCAGCTCCCTTCCTTGTCCTTTGCGTGCCACACACATCCCTGTTGGTATCTGATATTTTTTTCCCCTCCCCTGCATCATGAGATTGCTTTCTTGATCCTCGATTCGCTCAGATAACCTTGAAAAAGGGGAACTCTGAAGCGGCTCGCAGGTGGAAGGTGGCAGAGTCTCTTCTGGTGGGTGTCTCAGCGGTTTCTTGCCCAGGCTGCTGCCGGTCATGAGGCAGGGCCCCACGCAGGAGCCACGTGCAGCTGGAGAACCACGGGGTGGTCACCCACACAGGACAAGCCCTCAAAATGCTGTGTCATCCCCTCAAAGCACCATGTCATCCTCCCAGAACCACATCTTCTGCTACCCACAGACAGATTTGTAAGGGAATTCCTCCTTTACCGCCAACTGCTGCTAGTTTTTAGCTGCTCTTTCACTGAAAAAAATCTTTTTTTTTTTTTAGGATGCAAGCAGAACAGATGTCATACAGGGCGATCCTGCACTAACGTAACACCAGCTCTTTTCCTAGCGTTACTCATCCTTTAATTCAGCAGCTCCCTGCCTCTTGCGCAACCCCCAAGCAGCACAGAGCCTGAAGCTGGAAGTTAGCAGGGGTTCAGAAGTCAGTGCTGCTGCGTTAGCTGGTTGAGTCCGGACTTTTACAAGCCCTTCTGAACGGGGCTGTAAGGCGGCTTTCAGCAGGCCCAGCACAAGGCAGCAGGGCCAAACAGCTTCTTCCTCTCGCCCTGGGGTTCAGAAGGGTAAAACCCCACCACAAGGCACCCCAACTTGTGCACCCCATGGGCTGGGCTGGGAAACCAGGGTAATCCCCCTCATTGCTCCCTGGGTTTTTTCCTGGCATCCTCCCAAAGGGGGAGGGGAAGGGAGGGCTAAAAACATTACAAAAGAGAACAATCACCACTAAGCTTAGAAAATCATCCGGCCTCCTGAAGTTCTCCTTTACCTTAGAAGGGCAAGCCTTCTAAAATATGCATTTTAAACATACTTGCAGGCTGATTCTTTTAGCTGCACACACACATCAACTTGTACGATGCCTGGAGTGCCTGTGCTTTACCACAACGCACTAACAGAGGAACTGGGAAAAAAAAAACAAAAAAAAAACATACAACAATGTAAGCAAAATAAAAATCCTTAAAGCTAAGAGGAAAAGTTATCTTTAGAAGACACAAACAAACCAGCCCTGTATTTGAGAGCAGTAACAGAGAATGAAATCTCAGTGTAAGAAGGTGCCTACACACACAGCATGCCCTTGCCTGCAGACTTCCTACCTTATGGAAGATGCCTGTATTTATTCAATGGCTATGCACACACTTTAATGTAATCAAAGACACTTTTAATATTAGAACTTACTCGAGATCGAGCCTAAACAGCAAACCTGGTATGCAGACCCAATTCTGAGGCACATTACTTCAGCAAACGGAATAATAAAGAACACAGAAAATGAAATCAATACGATTTGCATAACATAACCAATTAACTTCTAGTTACCAAAGAGGGTTGCAGAGGAGAGGAGACGGGGGAGGCAAGCGTCCCAGACCTATTCTGAGGCAGAGAAAAGGGCTGCCTGCAGTGCATTCAGATACCTCCTGAAAAAAAACACAAGTCATTGCTAGGCACCGCTCCAGCCCCCATGAATCGCTGCCTGCGAGTAGCCATGACTCCATCTTCTCAGATTCTGTTAAAGAGGCGCTGACCTTCACGCTCCTGCTCGTACAGAACCCCTGCACGACTGGGTTGGGAATAGCTGACCAGCACTGGGGACACCTACGGTGTGCTTAATTCACTCACTGCCAGTTTTAGATCTGCCGAGTTACCATCGTACCTAGTCACTCCCTTTGGAAACCGAAAAAAAACAAAAACCAAACAGCAAGTCTCTTACACACACAGAGAGATTTCTGTGTCTACAAAGGCAGTGCCGGAAATAAGAACAACAGATGAATTTCAGATGTTAAAAATATCATTTAATTAATGAAACATAAATCATACCAAAAAGTTAAGTCACTTTTAGTCAATACATTTGCATTTATTTTAGAATATACTCTACATCTGAGTAAAAAAGTTTTAAATAGGCTTCAGTACATGTACAACCGTGGAACCCTTCATCCTTCCCAGTGAACTGGGGTGTTTGCGAGTCCACTGGGTCCCGTCCCGGGTAAGACGAGCAATTTTAAGCCGGTCTCGTTATTTTCATCAGCTTCTCTTTAGCCTCAGACCGGCCAGCTATGCAATGCGCTCATACACGTACAAATCCACCCTCCCTGCCTGGAAGAGGCACAGCTTGCCCCACACCATACAAAAAAAAAAAAAGAGGAAAAAAAATTAATAAACTAGTATCGATTAATTTACATCTCGCTCGCTCTCTGTTTTGTGCGTTGGTAAAAACGACTGCAGTCCCGGGAGCACGCGGGGAGACCCCACCCCCGTTAGGAAAGTAGTGCAAAACAAGGGAGGGGGGGGGGTCCTGCGGAGGGAACCCCGCTCCCACCGCCGCCCCCCGTCCCGTCTCATCCCATCCCGTCCCCCGCCCCGCGCTCCCACCCTCACTGCCCCCAGCTGCCGAAGCCGATCTCCTGCTTGTATCGGTTGGTGAGCACGTTGGCCTTGCGGGTGAGCTTGGAGAGCACCGTGTGCAGGCCGCTGAGGTGGTAGTGGAACTGCTGCTCCAGGTCCTCCTCCGCCTCGCCCTCCTCGGCCGGCCCGCCGCCCAGCTTGTCCTTCTTGCGGGCGGCCTCGTCGGCGGCCGGTGGCTGCACCACGCCCCACTCGATGTCGTTGCGGATGGACTTGAGCAGCACGTAGTGGCTGTACATGTCCCGCCGGGAGAAGTAAGCGCCGGGGCTGGCGGTGGGCAGCGGGGCCTCCCGCTGCGGGCAGACGGCTCCGGCCGCGTCCAGCTCCTCCAGCAGCAGCGGCACGTCGCGCAGCAGGCTGGGCACCATCACCGTCTGGTCCATGTTGTTGACGGCGCCGATGAAGCGGTTCATGGCGTTGAGCAGCGAGTACTTCTGGCTGTACGAGTCGCAGAGCTGCATCATGACGGCGGGGATCACCTCCTCCTCGTCCTTCCTTCTCCTCCTCCTGGCTAGGCGCTGCGGCTGCCCTCCGCCGTGCCTCGGCTGCTGCTGTCCCGTGGGGAAGCCCTGCGGGGAGGAGGGCGTTAGGGATCGCGCTGCACCGAGCTGTGCTCCCCCTCTTATCCCTTTCCCTCCTCTCCCACCCCGGAGCCACCCCTACCAGCGGCCCCACCGCCCCCACCCTCCCCCCTCCGCCCGAAAAGCCAGGAAACACCCCCAAGTAACACCCACAAAGGCACCCGTGGACGATGGCTGACCCCCACGGATGAACCGGCACCCACCGTGTGGCGCAGCCGCTCCCCGCCGCCGTCAGCCCGCCGCCGCCCGTGTCCGCGCTCCCATCCCCGCCGCCCTATTTATAAGCGCCTGCCCGCCGACGAGGTGTTCCCCAGTGCCACCCCCCCGCGCCGCCGGGACAGATAAAGGCGGCGGGCGGCGGCCCCGGGGCTCGGCGGCGGCTCCGCCTCTCTCCCCACAGCCGGGGGAGGGAGAGGGAGGAGGGAAAAAGGAGAAGGGGGAGGGAAAAGGGGAAGGGGGAGGAGGCGCGGCCGCGGGGACTGAGCCGCCTCCGGCGCCCGCCCGCCTCCTGCGGGGGCCGCCGCGGACTGAGGGGGCCACGCGGGCGGCGCGTGCAGCCCGCCCTCCCGCCGCCCTCCCATTGGCTGCCGCCCGCGCGCGCGCGCGCGGCGCCGCGTGCACGGCTCCGCGCGCGCTCGCGCTTCCCCCCCCTTTCCCCCCTTCTTTCCCATAATGGCGCCGAGCCGCCCGGCCCGCCATCACCCCACGGCCTCACCTCCGCGCCCAGCCAATCAGCGGCCCGGCCCCGCGCCCCCCCCTCCCTCCCCAGCCAATGGGAGGGCGGCCAATGCATTGCTGGGGGGGGCAATCAGGAAGAGCGGCCCCTTCCCCCGCCGCGTCCCTGGTAACAGGCGGCCCGCCGCGGGTCACGTGGGGGGGGGGGGGAGCGCGTTGCCATGGCGACGGGGCAGCCGCGGGGAGGGGGGGGGGGCGGGGCTGGCGCGCGGGGCGGCCGTTAACGGTCGGCGGGCAGCCGTTAGCGCCGAGCTGCCTCAGCGGCCCCTCAGGCGCCGGGCCGGCCGGCTGCCGTGTCTGTTTATCTATCTATTTATCTATCTATTTATTTATTTTTATTTTTGATTTTTTATTTTTTTTTCAACTTCCTGGTGTTCCGGTCAGCCCTGAGGCGCGGCGTGAATTAAAAAATTAAAAAATTTCCCTCTCGGTGAATTAAAAAGAGGCGCCTTAAATGCGAGTCTGCGTGCTCAGTGTTAAACCTGCGGGTACCGTTATAACGTGCGGCCCCGGCAAGAAACCCGTGGCTCCCTCAGCGGGTGAGGCCCGTAAATGCGGATCCCTAACCCCAGAGTCACGCCGGGGCACAAAGCTCTGTGTGCAAGTAGCGCTTCCTTAACGTGTTCCTTCACCTGCGCCTGTTAGCGAGCCGCTTCTGATATCGGCAAGTCCTCTGTCAGTCAGCCCTCCATAAGCCACCATTAGGAGCACTGAGGTAGGTGGGTGCTGGAGGAGCAGCACCCGGCCGTTCCCCAGAAGGGCTGGCAGTGCTGGCAGCTCCCTTTGTAGGGCTGGCCGATGCCCAAACTGGCTCCTCAGCCAATTCAGGTCCCAGCGTGCGTGCTGGCACGGGGCTGGTGCTGTTGTTTCACACTTCTCTCCCCCCCTTTCCCTTTCTGGGTCCAGTGGTACCGAGCTCTGAACCGAGGAAACCCGTCGCCCCTCATCCAGAAGGCACGCATGTGAATTTATCGTTTTAATTGATGTCTCTCCGTGAGTTTCGTATAATCAGCACTTGTAAGCTTAACATGCTAATGAACGGGGTAAGTAGGAACCTAATACGTTAAAGGAATGCAGACCAATTTGTCTGAGTCCCGCTGAGATCTGAGGCATAACTTTCGCAAAGATTTACTCGCGTTTCTGCCTCTTCCTCCTGCTCCTGCAGCTCCCCTGTGAGGGGAACGATCCTTCAGCAGCCATGGACACCTCTGGGAAGGAGCACGAGGGCTCAGGATGAGGCCGTTTGGAGAAGGCAGTGGCGATCATCCATCTCCTCTCCCCCCGGTGAGCATGCAGCTCCGAGCAAGGCTGCGTCGTGGCAGGGAGCAGCAGCGTGCCCCCTGCGAGGTGCAGAGCCCCGGCAGGCTGCAGGCAGAGCCTTGCTGCGAGCAGGATCACAGCGTGGTGGGAGGCAGCCCGGCGCGGGGCTGCCGGGAAGGCCCTCGGAGCCGCACGGCTCTGCAGCTTGCGCTCGGCGGCCTGCCAAACCCCGGCTTCCTCAGCAGCGTTCCTGGAAACCATCCCAAGTTCAGCTTCAGGCTGCTAGCCGGGGCCTGGAGTCCCTTGCAAACAGCGCTGGCGGGTCAAAGCAGCCTGAAATTCCCCAGACAGGAGCTGGGAAATGCTGCTCCCGTGCTGCGTCCCTCCCCCTATCCTTTTGGCAGCCTCATCCGTCCCCAGTCCCCACCGTCCGCCCGTCAGAGTCGGCACTGCGATGTGATGTGCGGTGCCCGGGACAATGGTGATCCCTTTCAAACGGCTCCTTAGCACTGCCATAATAAGCCTGATAAATAAAACATGGGCTGCAGGCGCGGATTTACTGGAGAGGGCTGAGGGGGCTGTAGCTCCCTCATTAGTATCTCCCGGTGCGGCAGGCGCGCTCCTCATTATGTGGCACGGTAGCAGTTGCCTAGTCATCCGCGGTGCGGCTGCAGCCACTCTGAGGATGCACCAGGGATCCGAGGGGTTTTTTTTTCTTCCTGCATTAATAACAGGAATTTACCGTGGAAAGAAAAAAAAAAAAAAAGATGAAAAACCCCACCAAGTTGAATCTGAAGAGGATGAAGGGGAAAAGAGTGTGATACTGAGCCTGATTTTCTCTCTCTCGTGTCTCAGTAAATGCAAAGAAATCCACCTGGCCTTGCCACCTCCGCTGCCCTGCCTGGCCCGGCGATGCTCCGAGCGCAGCATCCACCACAACCTTCCCACCCTGCGTCGTGCAGGGTTCGCTACGCGGGGGCTGACAGCAGGAAAGGCATCACCTGCAGCTTCCATGCGGTTCCTGCTGTCCGCCCTGCGTCCATCCTGATGGAGAAGTCCCCAAACAGAGGGGACAAGCCCTCTGCTTGCCCGTCCCTCCCCAGAGCCCACCGTGCCTCGACTTCCAGGCGCCTGCCTGTGTGCCTCGGAGGGCCCGTCCCCCCGCTCCCCCTTTGGCAGCGCAGGTGGTAACGCGGGCATTGTCTCGGCGCAGGGCTCTGCGTTGGATAATCTCAGCGGCTCAACTGTTTTTATCTGGATCTCCCTCCTGAACTGATAAATCTAAATTGCACATTTTCTAAACCGCTTAGCTTAGGGGTAAATCTTGCAGGTATTCTCCGATGGCGAGCTGCTGTCTTTTGCACCTGTCTAGCACCATCTACTGTAGCTTCACTGTACTGTTAGCCCTTCCCTTCCGTCTGCGCGCTTGCCGGTCCTGCAGGAGCTGCCTGCACCCCGAGGAGCTGGCGGAAGGACGTGAGCTCTGTTTTCACTGGAGAGGCTCGCCGAAGCTTTCCCTGCTAGCTAGTGGAGCTAGAATTTGGGATGTGGCAGGACGAGGGGTGGGAACGGGGCTTTGTCTGGGGCAAAGAGGGTCCAAACAAGAAGAAATTTTCCAGTTGCTGCTAGAGGATGCCGAGACTTCAGCTGGGATCCTTGCCACCCATTGATTGGGGAGCTATGGGGCTGCTATGGATTTGTATGATTAACTTTACAAAAAGCACCTTAAAGCTGGAAGGCAAAATCAGAACTAAATTGTGCTAAGCATTACAGATGGCGCGTTTTTTTTTCTTAATAAATCTGTTGATGTGAGTATTTCTGTAGGTGATAGATTAACATAAAAACACTGCCAGTCTGTTCCAGGGCTCTAAAGCACAGAACAAGGTACATCTTACGATTTTGGTCGTTGTTGTTGTTGTTATTAATCCCCAATTTAACTCTTTGAAGCTACTTGCCAGGAGAAGTAACTTGATTCAGTAGCAAGCAGCATGTTTTTCTACAACCCTTGTGAAAACTGGAAATGAAGTGGATTTGGCAGCTTCACCTTTAGAGTGCTGCAGCAAACCCGCAAACCTAAAGACCACAGGGTTTTGTCCTGGCTTTGTTTCTTGATGAAGTTCTGAAAAGAGTTAAATTAAATCCATGCTCTAACCATCTGTATAATTCCTCCATCCTCCCAACGCTGTGTAAGGGGTGCTGCAGAAGTCTGAGGATTACCCTCCCCGGTAGTACCATGCATTTGCTAGCTTAAAATTACTCCAACAGCACTTTTTCATTTGCATGGCTGGAGAGAATCTGTTTTTGCAGTAAGTTTGTGTTTCAAAGCGGATTTCTGTGTCCATCATTATTGGTGGTTTGCAAGACTTCTCCTTTCTTTCCCCCCACCCCCCCTCGCCCCGTTTGAGGAAGTGGGAACAAATGAAATAAACCCATCATAAAAAATAATTTTGTCCAGGTGGAACATAAATCAGCCAAAAAAATATTATTCTACATGGCAAATAAAAAGCATATGCTGTATTATTTAAAGCACAGCCTCCATATTCACATGCAAAATTAATGCTACAGTGGGAGGCAAAACTGATGGAGGCAGACAATGAAAATATTAGGAGTAAAACATGATGCCAGGAACAATTCAAGCAGAGCCACTTGCAGGGTCATGGTCATATTCCATTTCAAATGGGCATGGAAATACTCTGTGGGTTATTCTTCTCCAGAGATGCACAGATAATAAGCACCTGCTCCCCATGTCTGCTCGTCCCTTTTAACTGTTGATTTATTGAATGTTTCTGAAAGCTGTGGCCAGGCTAGCGAGGGACACAGACCTCAGTGCCTGCGGGAAGAAATGGGAGTGGACAGAAGTGTGCTGGCAGGTGCCCCGCTGGTGCCATGGGTTGCAGCGCCCAATGGAGTCCAAAACAAAAGCTGCATTTTATTCCAGGTCCCGAGCAGAAGCACCTTACTGGTAGGTAAATCAGGAGTCGTCTCCTTGCATCTGCTTGTTCCTCCACACCTGTAAAAGCCAGCAAAAAAAAAACTAAACTCTGCTCCTCTCCTCAAACCAGAGCAAATTTTGGTTTCAGAGCAGGCACATTCAGCAGTACATTAGGGCCAAACGTAATCTTTAGACAATGTTGGAGCCGGCTCACTACAAAGATGCTTTGAATTTCTAAGATCTTTTTCCTTGTAATTTAATAAAAACAGTAATAATTGCATAAAGGGCTTGCTTGGCATAAGTTATGGTCTTTCACTATTCTCTGCTATTTTCTTCTCTCTAGCCAGAGTGGAGCTTTGCAGCCACGAGGTCCCAGTCATGGATGTCGGTGAGCCTGAAGCCCCGCTGCATGGGAGAGGCATGTGCCCGTTTAGAAACAGCAGAGAGAAAAGGCTGTTTAATTAAAAATGTGAATCTGGAAGCGTCGGGCTATTGAGAATCGTTCCGAGCTGCATATTTTACATGCACGGCTAAGGAAAAGGCTCACCGTAGCAACTGGAGTAAGGCACGGTTCAGCTCCTCCACGATGCCAGGCAGTTTATTAACCTGGAACTACAGAATCACTCAAAATGACATTTAGCGGTGCTGAACTTCTGACACAAATCCCCCAGCGCAAGGAAGCGGAGGGGCAGCCGCAGGGCCGATCGCTGAGCCCTGCTGAGTCTTTGAACAGCAGCGGGAGAAGTGCTGCAGGGGAGCTGGAGCAGGAGGATAAAAGAGCCCTGCCAGAGCCAGAAACCGTCGCATTTTAACCCCGGTTCTGACCGCCGCTGCGGGTCTGAGCGGGTCACCTCAGGCCGGGGATTTGGGAGCAAAGCAGCTATGGGGAAAGCCGAGCTTTGGGCACGAGTGGAGCTTTTTGAGTTGTTTTTCCAAATGAAGTTACAAAGAGTTTTGTCGAGACCGAGAGGCCTCCTGGTGCGTTTCACAGCCTAACAGCTGTATTTCCCCCTGCATAAAGCGCGGTTTTCTCTCCTCCCCAATGCCTTGTGCCATCGGTCCGTGACCAGCATCAGCCAGAGGCCAGGTTTTTCACTTCTGCAGGTACCAGTGGATTTCTGACTTGACAATCAAGAAAAAGTTTCCCCATCCTGACCTGCGTGCGTGCTCCACATGTGCTCTGCTGCGTAACTGGAAAGGAGAATTGGGGTACAGAGAGCACTGCCAAATGTTCCCACACGCCTCCCGATACGGGGGAGATAAATTTACCCTCAGATGTTTTTCACCTCCAGTAATCCCAACCAATCCAGTAATCTCAACCGGTATAAATAAGGCTACCGAGGTTTTGCAGCAGGCGAGTTATCGTTTAGCTGACAGTGCCCCTTTAAGCGCTCAGACGCCGTCGTGCCGAGTTTTTGCTGTAGCCAAACAGGACCAGATTGAAATCAATAGCCCCATTTCGCTTGTCACTTACTTAAGCTTGATTTGAACCCATGTTTGTAAAGCTGAGAGGCTTTTCTCTTCCGTCGGTGCAGTGCGGTGCCTCCCGCTGCCAGCCCACCTGCGTGAATTTCACACTCCTGCTTTTAAAAAAGAAATATGACAGACAAGGAAAAAACGTTTTAATACGTGTACCTCGACAGATAATATATAATATCTCTGTTATTAAGACAGGGCTGAAAGGAGGCTGCCTGAAAAGGAGGCACATCTGCTCAGAGCACAGAAAGTCTTTCATAACTCATTCAGAGTTATTGGCCTTGCCCACAATATTAGTGATAAAAATTGATTATCCATTCCTGCTTGTTTCATGATCCATAGTTATTTTTTCATTCTTATTACAAGTTGGCTCGTACAGAGTGAGACCGTTGTTTAAACGCCCAAGGATGAGCACAATACATCTTACTTGCTAGGAGCCACACCAACTGAAAACAGGATTTTTTTTTTCACATTAGCCCTTCCCTGTCCTAAATGGAGAGGTTATCTGGACTTGGCAACTGTCAAGTTTTCTCTCCTCTCTGGGGAGAAAAAACGCCCTGAGGTCACTGTCTGCGCAGCTGACTGCTGCTTTTTATCCCCAAGTGCAGAGTTTGGGAAAGTAACCCGAACTTAACCAACTTAAACCGAGGCAATGGCTAGGTATGGTGTGGGATCTGAGACTACCCCCAAAATAGGATAAACTAAAAGGTTACAGTCATGAAGAGGAGTTTATTGACAAAGCCGTAATTCCCTTACAAAAAAAATAGGATGGTAACACCAAGATCAGTGCTTTCTTTGCCTTAGGCCTTGAAGATTTCGGTGATTTGATCCAGAACTGGATGCTGGAGATTCCTCCTCTCCCCTGTAAACTCCTTTTAGCATAAACAGATATTATCTGCGCACGAGAAAGAGGAGAACAGGCTCCCAATAAAAATACCTCGCAGCTCAACTGCAGAGCTGGTAGCTTCTCGCAGGCAGTAAAACAGCCAACGCGCAGACTGACACAAAGTGGAAGGGAGAGGTGTTTCCCCGGGGGACTATCAAACGCAAAATCTCTTGTAGCTCAATGAGGAGACGAGCTTTCGCCCACATTTGCTGGGAAATCTCCTCTGGAGGAAGGGCTGCTCGTCTCGCCCAGGGTCCAGAGCTGCTGAGGGCAAAACCAAAAACCAACGCCGGCGACAGCCGTAAGAAAAATATCTATGAGTGCGTCCCTTTTGTCCCTCCTAGGAGCGACGCCCGACCCCGACGGCTCGCCCCAGGAAGGCGAGGGGTCCCAGCGGGCCCCATCCCACGGGGATCCGCTGTTTTTGGGGAGCCGGGGGTGCCGGCCGGGGCGGCGATAGCTGGCGCTGCCTTGCCACCTAGTGTCGCCGGCACGGATTGCAGGTCCCCGCCCGCAGCGCTGCGTCCTAATGGCCGGGTCTTGGGAAGAAATGCGGGCTTCTTATCTCGCTGGAATTACAGGAACTTCAGCTTTTTTACATTAATTTGCATCAATATTTTATGCGCCGTAATGGCCGGATAACCCCGGCGCTAAGAGACTCTATTTCATATTGTCAATAGCGATGGGAAGGGGATAAATTACCACCGGCCGCACGCGCTATCTGCGGCTCATTTGGAAACGGCCCTTTAGCTGATTAGATATCGCCCAAAAGTAGATATTTAGTGTCACTCAGCCCCGCTGCATCTCCTGATTTAGTGCCGAAGCCGTGGCGGGACCGAAGCCATTAGCCAAGCGCCGCCGCCGCCGCTCAACTTGTTTGGCAAACGCGGCCCCTCCGCTTGCGGCTGCCGTGATTTACATATGGAGCCTTGGGAGCAGAGCCAGGTGAATAATTTTCGGTGACAGTGAATAATGAGCCCGATCAGTTCTCCGGGTCCTCCCCCTCCTTTGGTAATTGTCCATGAGTAGGGGCATGATTTTCATCAAATTTATCCGTTCTTCTAAATTATTTGGTGAATAATTTCAGGGAGCGTAGGATGCCTGCAGAGTATGAGCGAGCAGTTTTTTGGCGGAGCACTGGAACCCAAGGGATTTTAGCCGGTGGACTGCAAGTACAGAAACACTGCGCCAAGTCTATTGGTCAAGTAGCACGGGGGTTACTCGTGTATGGAAGTGTGATTTACTTTCTAAAATCATTTTCCCTGTTCATGTAGAGTGTGCTGACTTTGGTGCCATGACATTTTAAAGATTGTAATTAGATACAGGAAAGAAAAAAAAAAAAAAAAAGAGAGACAAAAAAGCTGCAATGCAGTCCAACCTGATTTTCCATGAAACACAGATTAATATTTGCTGAGCCTTTTGGGTTTAGTTTTCATTTCAGCTAATTCTAGTCACATCCAAAATGGAGAGGGCAGATTAAAGTTATTTTGTCTACCCCACAGTCCGTTTCCAGAATGTAGCACTAAAGTCTCAGCTTCATGAACTGAAGTTGACAGTGGGGGGTAAGACAGACGGGTTTGGATTTGGAATTTCATTTCCTTAGAGAAAAAAATCTCCTTGTTGGTAAGCAATTGCAAGAAACCAATTTAGAAATAATTTATGATTTTGTTCTATAAAACTTCCTGCTGCAGTTGGATCCATACACCCATCTTCACAGGCACAGGAACTTGTCGTAGGTGAGCGTCAGCATTGCTTAGGTAAGGCCAAGAACATAGATCATGTGCTGAGTACGTTAAAAAGTAGATGATGACGGGGCAAAGCAAAAAAGAAACTGATCTGAGCTGGGGACTGAGAGGCAGTCAGGAAAGAGCGAAGAAAATGAGGATCAGCCAAGGAGCTGTATTCGGCACACCTCCACCGCCGCACAGGAAAACAGGGCAACCAAGCGGAAAACTTGGCAGCCCTCAAGAAAAGCAATACCACACCCTGTAGGCTTGGTGAGCTATGAAAAACACCGAGGATCGACTTTACATGCCAGCACAGGATTTATTGTCATCTACAATTCAAATCTTTACTTAGAAGGTTATTGGGTTTGTTATCGAGAGAGAATAACAAAGAAGTGTTTGAAGACTAGATCCAGTGAGACCTGGTTTTCTACCGATTTATGGCTTGAGGCTCAGCACCTAGGAGGACTTTGTACTGCATAATAGCAGTTATGCTCACACCGTACCCTTTCCCTCAGCTGGGAACATTAATAGGGTCTTTTCTACACGGCTTCCCGCTTTCATGCAACCCACAGGAAATTTTTATCTTTGACATCTTTGGCCCTCTGTCAAATTTACTTAAATTGGCCATTGAATTTAAAAACCGTCGAGGTTACCTGGGCTGCAAATCAACCCATGTGATTGAATTAGCCTTGCTTCCTTAGCAAACTCAAAGTTAATCAACACGGAGTTAGAGGGATGAAGACTTCAGGCTTCAAAACGGAATTGAACGGCAGCAGAAAGGATGACCTTTTTGAAGCCAGGCAAGCATTTTCATCATTATCAACAATAATGACTAATAAAGTAACGACAATAACAACTGACCTTTTACGTAATAGCTTACATCTCAAAGTGCTTTTCAAGCTTCTTTTTTTTTTTTTTTTCCACTTTCAAGAGTAATTTTCTCAAAGTGCATTATGACTTACATTTTTTGCAGCATTGCTGAAGGCTAGGCCCCCTTCGGATAGGACAAAGGCAATCACGTGGCTGGCAACACACTGCACGTCAGCGGAGGGAGAGGAAATTTTAGACAAAGACATTCAGATAGAGTCTCTCTGCAACAGAAAATACCAGGTTTTCTTTACTGTTAAACCAAAAAAGCCAGGACCTGGTTGGTAGATGTCTTACTCATTGTTTTCTTGGCTAGGCTAGGCAAATAGCGGGCATTATTGTAGATAACACACCCCAAAGCAAACGTCTTGTCAATACGAGGAGCCGAGTTAGGGTTGGAGTTGTGCTGTGAATGCCTAACCACAGCAGTTGATTTTAGGAGCTGTGCAGGGATGTGCGATGGCACAGATTCTAAAAGACACACAGCACGTGCCAGGTGCAGCCTCAAAACCAAACCAGTAAACGCTTCCATCCCAAGGACTCGAATGCCAAAGACGTGTTCAGAGGCAGAGAAGTGACCATCAAAAAAAACCCTTCAGAAGTAGTGCTGATGAGCTGCAATTGAGTTTAGCTTTTGGGACGGTATGGCTTTTTTTTTTTTTTTTTTTTTTTTTGGTATTCTTATAAAATGGAGCCTCAGATGTATGAGGATATGTATGCAAAGAGACAGAGAGAACAAATTACTGAGTGCTGTTTTTTTGACATTTACAGGTTCTGAAATTGTTGGAGGATATATATTGAGAGGAGGCTGCGCTCTCGTTACTCACCTGCCATCAGCACACAGATGTGAGTGTTTCCTCTGCAGTTTAGCAAACACACGGAAAAGGCACTGTGACACTTACTAATTAGTTTCCCTTTGTGGTATTTCAGTTATTACTTTTGTTGTTATTAGTGTTATTATTGTTATCCCAGTGAGTGTGCACAGAGAATGACTAAATGGTTTGGGTAGACACAGCACGATTAGGGAAGAAAGGGGTTTCTAAGCACTTCATTTTTTTTTTGTTTTTACCCCATTCCTTTCCCTCCAGCAACAAGAATAAAATCCTGTGGTTTCCATGCGGAACCTTGTGCAGGAGACGGGCAGCAAATAATTAAGCATTCCTTTCCTACAGCCCAGCTTAGGCCTTGTCTGCAAACATGCAGATAATACCGCTGCAGAAATGAGGTATTAGCGGCTGGGTTAGCTTACTGGTAAGGCAGCAAGTGCAGAAAGGAGCTGTACACAGTCGGCACTTGCTCACTGAACTGATCGTTGACAGAGGGTGGAAGCACAAC